TAGCCAGGGTTGTCTTTTATCTCTACTTAGACAGTAAGAACAAGAACGTATTTTGTGTGGTGTACACTGACCTTCTAGTTATGCCAGAATCTTGTTACTCTCTCTGTGTTTTCTCTGGGAAGTCTGGTGCTGTGGTGATATATTTCACAACAGTGGAATGGAAAGATGGGCTCTAGCAATGTGCTGACTGTGGTCCCTCCTTTCCCTGTGTTGAGTGCCCACTGATTCTGTGCTGGGCACTTCTGGACCTACATCTGGTATTGGATATACTGGCATTGAAGATATCCAAAGGACATGTCCTGGCATATAAATCTATGACTGACCAGGAGTTGTGTCTAGTTAAGGCGTCTCAGAGGGTCTTATGTGTGCAGACTTTGTTCTGTTGCCAGTCTGGAATATTGGGGGCTTTTCCTCATTCAGGGGAATTCCAAAGACCATGAGTATATTTCCTGTTTGCTAGTGTGGATAATCCTTCAGAAGAAGATTTGTAAATATTAAAGAGAGTTAAGAACTTCTATGTCATCTCTCCTAGCCCCAGGGAACACTGTGGAAGAGGAAGCAGCAAGATTATAAGGGCAGAGGAAGAGTAAGAAAGCTATTAAATGTTGTCCTCTTGGTATGACATGGCTGCTGAGATCATGAGCACATAGTAACTGTAGCCACCTGCACGCGTTCTGCACACATAAGAAAAGATGTACAAGCAGGAGGGGCTCTGTTTGGGAAGAGGGGTACCAGCAAGGGAAGACTGGGTGAAATAAGGTAGTGGGCATTGTGTGTGATTAGGAATTGCCAAAGGGAAAAACAAGAACACAGTGAGCTAATGTTTCTAGCAAACATTCGTGGCCGCACGACTGTAATATTTAGATCCAGCCCATTCTTCACAGTCTTCCCTGAGCTGAGCCTCACAGCATCTTAAAGCCCTGGCTGCTGTTGTCATCTTTATTTTACTAATGAAAGCTGAAACACAGAGAGGTTCAGTCATCTGCATAAAATCAGAGAGCCAGGAAGCAAGGTAGCAGGGGTTTGAATCTAGGGAGCAGGGCACTGGAGACTATTTTAGCAGTCCTGGGCAGCCCCGTCTCCCAGACCTCCACACTCGAGAGTGTGGGGTCATACAAATGGGTTTGCATCCCTTAACTCCTTCACTGTGTGTGAGTGATGGTTTCCAAAACATGAGCACACGAACTGAGGTCGGGTCAGCGTGTGGGCCCTTAGTGACGCATTATTCTTCCGATGGGATATCATATTGTCTTGCCAGTCATTGGTTAAAGCACCAGAAGTAACCAAGACAGAAAAAAAATGGAATAATCTTATTCTGTCCACAAGCCCCATGATTCCTTTATTCTAGAGGACACCAGGATGGCCCTTTCTTTCATCAGGAAGCAGGAAAGATATGGGCTGTTGAATTCACAGTGCAGGTTAGACCAGAGAAAGACCATCCTGGCATGTCTGCCCATAGTAAGCAGAACCCTGGCCTCACAGCAGAGGACAGATGGACATGCTCTGGAGGCCATCTGGGCCGAGAAGGAGGCTCCTGGCTGGGCCAGCAGGGCAGCTGGCTGTACAGGCTGAGCTGACCAGATGTGGTTAGATGAAGGGCCCATCTCACAGCCTACTTTGTTCTGTGGGTAGTATGGCCTTTTTAAAGAGCCAAGGAATTAAAGTAGAGTCACTGAGATCATCTTCCCAGACGCCCGAGTGAAATGATGAGTGGAGGAGAGACACATGTTACCATGATGCTTCTTCGAGGTAAAGGAGAGCCGGGCTAGGCAAGCATTTAAATGGCTGGATTTAAAAGTTAATGGAGTATTCACAAGCCAACGGAGTATGGCAGGCAAAGGCGATGGGGCTGCGGAGCTTTGATGAAGACAGGAAACAGGCCTCTATACGGCAAGGGGGACCAGAGGCCAGAGACAGCTGCAAACGTTCGTCAGCCTCGGCAGCTCCCGCGGGAGAGCCAGGACGCGCCTCCCTCTTGCTCAGAGTTTGTCCTCCCTACTTCTTTTCTTTGGGGGAAGGTTTCCTGGATTTTACTGCAGCTTGTAAAAGCTTTGCCTTTTACCCTGGGAGTTTCAAGATAAGCATCACTCCCTCTTTCCCAAGGATGTTTTCTATAAGCAAGGGTCTTTCATTTTAAGATGAAATGCATAGATCCAGCTTTACAAAGAAAAGGAATAACGCTTGCCTTTGAGAGAGGTTTGAGTCACAGGGAAGGAAGGCCTGGGCTCCTTGGGCACAATTTTTAGTTCCCAGCTAATATGTGCATCAACAATGAGGACATGATGTCCCGTCCGTGGTGGCTGGAGGCTGAGCAACAGGCAGAACCCACATTCAGGCATCATGTGTGGTGTGCAGAGGGGCCTCCCCACATCCTCCGGGGTTCCAAGGTTCAGATCTATCCCAGTGAGGTCAGGGCTGACTGAAAGTGAGGCTTTTCCGCGGGGTGCTTTCTCAGGGGATCATGAACTCTGGATGTCTGTATGTGTGGATGGGGTAGGGAGAGACATTTGCTACCAGAGGCACAGAGGAGTGCCTCATCTAATGGCAGAGAGGAGGGAAGAAAGGAGGAGGGAGATAGACATTCAGACAGACAGACAAATAGATGATAGATAGATGATAGATAGATAGATAGATAGATAGATGATAGATAAATGATAGATAGATAGATAGATAGATAGATAGATAGAATAAACACATTAGAAAACATGTTGACCAAAGCATCCATTCCTCAAATATGGACCAGGAGTTATTCTGTGTGTTTGGGAAATATAAGGGAGAAACACACACACACACACACACACACACACACACACACACACACACGAGGATTCATCCATATTATTTGAAGGGACAGCTAGATATTAAGTGCAATGAGGCTGGGAGGGGGCAGTAGGTACCCAGGTGAGATGGCCACAGACATGAGGAAGAGAAGACCAGGGCAGGGACAGTCAAAGCTGGGCAGGATGGGTCACTATAGGCTTAAGTGACATGCCCAGGGAGCCCAATGGAGAACGAATATTTGGATGAAGACCTGAAGAAGGTGGAGTTGCTACGAGGGGGTTAGGGGAAAGCATCTGAGATAGTGAAAGAACTCAGGGGCCTAAGCTCTGGGAAAACCACGTCTGCTGCACTCCAGGAGCATGGGCGGCCAGCGCAATCGAGTGAATATTCTCCCGAGTCATGGAGGAAGCAGGTCCCGATCAGGCCTCGGAGGTGGAGTGGGACCTAGGGCCTGGGGGCTACGCAGCTGGCAGCTCAGTGAAGCCTACCATGCAGAAACAGTTTGCTTTAGATCCCGTGTTCTGAGGGTCACTCTGGTAGCTGGGTTGTGATCAGCTACCATTGGTCATCAAAGCTGAAAATGGACGCAGTGGCTTCAGTGCTAACTGTGAAGAAAGGCTGGTGCCAGGGACAAGCATCTGGGCGCTAGAAGTCGTGAGAAAGGCAGGCTTCACAGTGAGCAGTCGCTGGCAATGAATTAGTGAGGCTAAGGGTGACTGAGAAGCTTGAAGGTTGGAAGACTGCTAAGGTAGAGCTGCCACCAAAAGAGATGCAGAAGTCTGCACACAAAGCTTAGCCTTACCACTGTGCTGGGTAGTGAAGCAGAGACATGGAGTGAGCTAATCCGTGCTTCAAAAGATGAAGATAAAACTACTGGGAAGTCGCGCCACCGTGTCAGTGTGACTAGATCACCGCACATGCCCACAAGCACACACATACACAGAGTCACACGCACACACTTGATTTACTTTCAGGAATTGGCTTGCATAAATACCAGAGCCAGCAAGTTTACTGAGCATAGAACAAGGCAGCGGGATGGAAACTGAGGCAGGAATCGCCACCACAGCATTGAAGTGGAATTCATGATGGGCTGTTAGCAAGGTCAGGTTTGTCAGACATAGAAAGCACCCTGGCTCATTTTGCTCCTCTTTTCTCCTAGATTCACCAACCCTTTGTCTTTTCCGGAATCCCCGGGGACTGTGACCACACCCTGCACCATACCTCACTCTAACAAGCATTTGTGTTCACGTGTTCTGCCTGCCTTTGCCTGATGCACACTCAAGTTTAACAGCCCTTGCTGAAGACATGTGCACAGCCCTCTCAAAGGCCAGCCCTCCTGACTGGCCCACATGTCTCTACCTACTCAAGAACTTTGTCCAGGAAGGCTTCTACTGCACCGCTATTTCTCCACTCTGTTCGAGGTCATTACCCACAGCACAGAAGCCTGCCTTTAACAGCCTCAGTACACGAAATCAACAGCACCAGCGAAACCAGACTCGCTCTCTCTGCTTACAGTCACCCCGCCCCATTCTCTTGTCCTCTATAAAACAATCAAAGCCACACTGATGGAATGCATTGTTGTTGCTGTTGCTTGTTTTATTTCATTTTGTTTTTAGATGGGGTTCCTCTGTGTAGCCCTGGCTGTCCTGGAAAATCACTCTGTAGATGAGGCTGGCCTTGAACTTGTGTGCACACAACCACCTGGCATGAACTTTTTTTTTCTTTAAGAATGAAGATACTTTTACATTTCCAAATTTCTTCCTTTGAGATTCCACTATCTCTTTCTCTGTTGATTTGGACCCTTGTCTCAGTCACCTAGGATCTCCACGTTGTAAGATACAGAGTTCCATTCTGAAGTTCGGGTTCCCTTTGATGTCTGGTCATCAGTTTCATGTGGTCCAGCTGGGCCCTCTCTTTGCTGGTCTACATCCCTCACTTGGCATCTGTCCCTGCTGTATCATTGCCTTCTACATCTTCCCATCCAGAGTTAGAAGTTATTCTGCGCTGAGGCTCGGAGGTCATGAAGAAGAGGGAGGGGGAGAGGAAGGGTGAAAGGTAAAGAGGGATGGAGATGGGGTAGCCAAGGGAAAGAGGCAAGGATGGGGCAAGAGGGAAGAGGAAGGAAGCAGGCAGGGGAAGAGGGAGAGGAAAGGATACACACACAGAGAGAAGGGAGGGAGGAGGAAGGGTGAGGGTAGGAGGAAGCAGTCCATGGAGGAATGTGTTGGGTGTTGTGAAACATGAGGTCCAGTGATTGGTGGCCTGGATGGCTCAGAAAACTCTTGGAAACAGATGCCATCCCACGACCATGCTTTAGTCCCAGGAGGGAATGTGGACTAATGAAAAGAGGCAGACACTGTTGTGTGTAACACAGGAGTGATCAGGTCTGGTTTATGTCGCTTCGCCCTGGCTGCCACAAAGAAGATAAACTATGATGGGGCCAGGGTCCTGTCGGCCAGTGTTTGCTCTGTTTCAGCACGCCCCGAGCTTATCAGCAGTTCTGCGAGAGAGAACGGGAAATGGATTTGCCTTGGCCGGTAAGTGGGAGCGCTGGGATTGGAGCCCTGGCCGGCTGGAGACTGTACCGCCTGCAGTGCTGCACGGCAGACAAGATCTGCATAGCTCAGATGAAGAAAGAAGCGGGAGAGCTTATGGCCAGAATATGCTCTCAAGATAACAGGCAGGATGTGGCTCGCCTAGGAGGAAAGAGATGCTGATTAGTGATGGGGATGCCTAGGTTGGGGCCCGGGGGATGGGTCATGATGACATTTGTGTAATGGGAAAATTGAGAAAAGAAACATTTGGAGGCAGGAGTTACAGGCTTCCCATGCGGGTTGGAGATGACTTCCGGAACCTAGGGACACTGCTCTGTAAGCAGTTGGACCCACTCGCCAGGGCTGGGCATAGCTGCACAGGGCCTCTGGGCACCACCCTTATGCGGATGGCATTTGGCAGAGGGACAGAAAGCACTGGAAGAACGAGAGGAGCACATAAGCCCGAGCTTGACATGAGCCGACCTCACAGGTCCCCGAAAGGAGGAGGTTTGGTAAAGGAGAGCCAGAAAGAGCAGCTGGGTGGGGGAGGGACGCACTGGAGGATTCTGCAGCTTCTCCTGCACAATTCAACTCCCCTCCCCCGGGCATGTGGAATTTAATACTTCATTCCTATTTGCACGTCCTGTGTCTGTTGACTGCATTCATAAACAGATGTGGCAGCCACTGCTTGGAGTCAATCCTGCACTTCATAATATCCCACAGGAGAAGCCTTGAAACCCAGGCGTTAATCACAAGGGTTTCCACCACAGAGGTGAAAGGCGTCGTTCACAGGCATGTCCAGCTGACAGCTGTGTTCCAGGGGACACTGCGGGCTGTGGAGGACGGACATTCATCTGTGGTCACAGTACCATTCTGCCCTGTGAGAGCCATCTAGCTAAGGTGGCTTCTGAGACACCCAGGGAGGCAGGTGGGGCGGGATGATCTCAAAATGGCTGTAAGTGGAAAATCCTGTTCTTTCTGTAAATTTGTTTGAATCTTTGTCCTTCTTGCCTTCTTCCAGCATTCCCGCGACTTCTGCCTGCAGTCTGTTAAAGTCTTGATCCTTAGCCAGCTTCAAATTTACAAAGAAAATATTCTAAATACCCCTTTCCTACATGTTTTGGCTTCCCACAGTAACTGATTTTGAATTTCAAGTAAACACTTGTAAATATTTATTTAACATCTTTCTGCATTAAAAATATTAAACACCTACATATTCAGCATTATCTCCATGTGTCGAAGGTTTTCAGTGACAGAATTTAAATGTTCCATTATGTTGCTTTTCTGGATGGGTGACAATGATTTACTTTTGAAAACACACGACAAGATCTCTGGCTTTTTATGCTGTATTGCTGCATAAAATTTAACTGTTTCATTTGGAGACAATGATGAATAAATCTAAAAAGGCCAAGTAGCATCCTGACTGTGGATAGCTCAGCCTGGTATGATCACAGACTACAAGGGAAAAATGCAATTCAGATAAAATATTAATGGGATGGAATGAAGGCCTATTTCTTGTTGCCGCAGGCCACCTACATGTACATTTGACATATCGATGTTTTCTTCTTTGGGTGATCTAGCCTATGTCCTTGTGGGATGTGAAGACACAGCTTTAATGATATGCTCTCAATGTATTCCAGGGGCACTGATGTGGGAACTCACTGTAGAATGAAGTGCCGGGTCGTTTATTCTTGTATGACGTCTTCTATTATTTTCATCTCTCTGTGTCTAGCTGTTTGTGAATCTGCCACCTGCCACCATGATGAAGGACCTCTCCAGTGCTAACCACGCCATCTGACCTGCATCAGAGAATCATTTTCTGCATTTGGAGCAATCCTATTCATGATAGAGGATGCTGAGGATCAGCTCCGTGCTTGCAATATCCCCAAACCTGTGGGAAAGGTTGACCAGACAGCACATTTAAAAGTTCTGGCTTTAGTTGACTGATCGTGGTACCAATTTGTGATATTTGGTGTGGCACTTACAAACATACTACATTAGTGACTTTTCTATTGCTATGGTAACACATCATAACCAAGGCAACTTCTCCACAGTCTTCCAAAAACCAGCATGGTCAGGTCTGTCAGCTCTAGCTTATTTTTTGGTACTAACTTCTTGGAGAAACCCTGTCTCAAAAAAATACAAAAACAAAACAAAACAAAAACAGAAAACCAACTTCTTTATTGGTTGTTTTTCTATTGCTGTGATGAAACACCATGGCCAAGGTCATTTATCAAAGAAAGGATTTATTTGGGCTTATGGTTCCAAGGGGGGTAAGAGTCCATGGGACAGAGGCCTGCTAACAGGAGCAGGAATTTGAGGTCTCATATTTTGAACCAGAACTAGGTGAGGTTTCTTACTCTCAAAACCCACCTCAAGTGGTGTACTTCCTCTGACAAGACTGCATCTCTTAAACATCCCCCAACAGGGTCAACAATAGTGGACCAAGTATCCCAATGCCCAAGACTCGGGGGATATCTCATTCAGACCACTGAACACACTTAGTGTGTCATAGTCAAGTCAGAGCAATTGAAGTCACTGCACCCCAAGGCTTCTCTTATTTGTCTTGGGAAACATGAAGCCCTCTCTTATAGCTACTTTGAAATGGGTAAATCACTTGGAATGATCTTTGCCTACTCTGCTATAGGCCTCTGGAACTCACTCTTCTTTTCCCATGGATTTTGGAACCTGTTATCTTAGCTCTTTTTCTCAGTCTCTGGTAACTAAGCAATATTAATCAATATTCTTTGGAGATCAACTTGTTTAAGTTCCACATATGAAGGAGGATATGTACTATAATTGTGTTTCTGTGCTTGGTTTATGTTGTATAAACCTCCAGGATCACCCATGTCACCTGAAAAATGACATACTATGCTCTCACCCTCTGTTTTGTATGGCTGCAGAGTTCAGTTTTGAAGGTTCCCTAGCTACTTCTATTGCATATACTTGGATCTGGCTTATTCTTACCTTGTGCTATTGCTGAATGTCACACTTGAGATTTATAGTTTTAATTAAATTATTCTATACCATCACACCTAGAGGCATGCTCAGATTCAAGTGATGAACTGGTCTTCGCTAATAAAAGAATCAGTCTTATTCACAGTTCAGTATTGTTCTACACATAATGATGACACTTTGTTAATTTCTTTTATTTCAATAATGTTTATGTAGTTATTATGTTATAAAAGATGACTAGTGCCTAGTGCTCATTGTGTAGACATTTTAATATGTCATGGGTTTTGGTCAGCCAGGGAACCACTAATAACTTGTTTGTTGACTTTGATGTTATTCTGGCGCGCGCACGTGTGTGTGTGTGTGTGTGTGTGTGTGTGTGTGTGTGTGTTAGAGAGAGAGAAAGAGAGGGAGAGAGATTTTAACATTTATATACTCTAAAGGTTATTTCTACTCTTTCCCAATGATGTATTTTCAACATGTTCATTGTTAATTCCCCTGAAGCTGAGCTTCTGTGTTAGATCTCAAGGCTAGGTCATGATTTATTTAACTCTTCCTCTGAGAAAGATGTTCATGTAGTTGCCAATTTCTTCACTTGATTTTTGAGGGATGCCCTAAACAACTTTGTGCATCTATCCTGCTTAACGCCTCCGGCATCTTCTTTAGACCAGGTTTTTAGAAACAGGATCACCAGGTCCTATGTGATGAGCTCCTGCTAGGTTTGTCTGGAGGAGTTTTTAGCTCACACACTGTTCCTGTGGCGGTGGACCCAGAGAGGGCACAATCAGATGCCTCCCTCCGTTTGTGAGGCTGACCATATCAGCAAAGATGCCTGCAAACATCTGAGCACAGTCTCCTTCTTTTCCAACATCTCCTTTCTGTTTGTTTGTTTTAGAAGAAACTTCTCTTGCATTGAAGCTGTGAGTCCCCCAGTCTGCTATGAGCATCTGTTGGTTGGAAGTAGGGAGTTTCAGTCTTCACTGCTGTCTTTGCAGGTATTTTAATGAACTGTTGAAAGCAGCTCAAATATACTAGGTGAGATTATTTTAATATTGAAGATCTAAGCCATATCAGGTCACTTTCATCTCAGAGATACTGACCCTCAAAGAGTCTCTGAGATTTCTATCGAACAAAGCGCAGTGGATGTTCTGTGTGAGACTCTGGCGACACAGACTGGGGCAGTCGAGAACCACATTGGTATATGCTTAGGGAGGTTTCAGATGCACACATTACAACCCTGCTGAACTAGTGAATAAGTAATTCTGGATTTCGCATTTAATTTTTCCTAAACCTATTTACCTCGGACAGATTTGAGTCATCTCTGTACCCAAGGGTTCCATGTCACCCCGCATCTGACTGTAAACACATGCTTTCTTGTCCTTTTGAAGAGCCACGGTGTTTAACTCCAGGCGAGATAAAGGCTTAGGAGGTCATGCCAGTCTTTCCTTTAATCTCAGTGTCTTCTGTTTCATCATCCTTAAATTGCGAAGCAATTAGGTGCCTGCATTATTTTCCCTTTTGAATTTCTACTCATATTGGCTTTTATTTTCCATATTGTCTCACTAGCTAACCAGTGTTCCTGAAGACATCGAGAAGCACACAGTGATTCACTTGAAGATGGTGTTTATCTTGTATTTCCTTCCTACATCTTCTTTTATAGCACGGGGGGGGGGGATGCCCCATCCCTGGGGTTCTGATTTCTTTGTTGCGTAGAGGGTTCACGATGCTTCAGCTTCCTTCACTGTCTTTGTTCTCCTGATCCTTGCTTCCCACTGTGCCCCCTAGCAGAGCAGGTTTTCTGATGCTGCACAGCTGGCTGTAACTTCCCATTCTTCCCTTCCTAGGCTTCTGCTCCTATCCACTGAGTCATAGAGTGAATGCCTTTGTAGACATTTTCCCTCGCAGAACCTTTCTACGATCCCCTTTCTCTTCTATTTGAAAGTGCTATCTATCTTCTGGCTCTGCAAATTCAGGAGGTTTTGCTTGTTTGTTTTCTTTTGTTTTTGTCTGAATGCGTCACTTATGAAGAGGCTAGAGTTTGAGCTTTAGATATCTTGATGTTTTTGTTGACAAGGGTTCCAGTGAGGAAGGGCTGTGGAAAGTGGGCTTTTGTTTCGTTGTTGTTGTTCCCTCACCCTTTTTTGATAACAATTCTCTGGAGATTTCTTTGTTTCCAATTTAGACAGAGCTTCTCATCCCAGAGAAATTAGCTCCTGAGTGAGGTAGACACAGGCCGAACTGCAAGTCACTCTCTAGGGACAGAGGCTGACTGAGAACATCTTCCTCTGCTGGTGTGGACTCTGATCACCCCTCCCCTTTAGAATTCTAAATAGCAGGTGTCAAGTCTAGATCTGTTAGCAGCTTTCAGGTTGTCATTTAAAGATGGGAGAACGAAAGGACAAGATTCAGGGCTTTGCAAACTCTTACAGAAAAACCCATTCTGGAAAAACAAAAGTTCCCAGGTCTGTGTTGTGATTGACTTAATGGTACACCTCCACTCACAGACAGCGGCCTCCTCATCTCTGGGAATAGAGGCCTGGCTAGTGACATATTGTAGGTTGGAATGTTTTGCAAACCAGCTTAATACCTCTTTCCTTGCAAGGCTGGCAATAAAGGGCAGGTTTAAGTGATTTTAATGACCTAGGCCTGGATCCTGTGGATGGACTGAAAGATGGAAAAGGGATAATATCCTGTTCTGTGCCCTTATGTGCAGAAATTGCTTTGAACAGGCATTTGGTTTCTTAGGTTTCTCCTGTTGTTTGGGTTGTGTAGGTAGAGGTGGAGCCATAAAAAGTGTGCAGATAGGCTAAAAGCTGAGCCTGCTGCTGCAGCCTGCTGCGTGGAATTTCTTTGATTATCCCCAGCACCGGGTTGGAGAGAGGCTCTTCTTAGACCCAGGGGGAGCCTCAGCTGTTGTGGACTCCTGTGACTTGTCAAGAGCCTTAATGCTTTGGAGGACAGAGCAATGACTGCGTGGATGACAGGAACTCTGGGGACACTCAACACCAGCCTGAAAGTGCTGCCCCTCAGACAAACAGCTCCCAAAGCCACATTTCGAAAGAGTGCTGGGGTTGGGGAGCAGGAATGGCCAGATCTCAGGGTTGTGGGACTCTGTTCAGCGGGAACTCCCCTCAAAGCAGAATAATCCGAGCTTCATACGTGAAGACTGCCTGTGGTGAGGCTAAGACAGGTCTGCACAGTTGCGCCGGGTTCAGTGGGATGATTACAGGGCTCAGCTGCAGGGTGGCGATTACTCTCGCAAACCTGGCATTTGGTTGTGCACACACATCATCAGAGAGCAGACAGACACACAGACATCACAGCCCACTGCAGAAATGAGCACAGACATTCTAGTTTAAACAAAACAACTTCAGACTAGGGTGGATGAGGCTTAGACAGCCTGCTATTGTTCACGCCGATGTTTAGGCAGAAAGCAAATGTGGGCAATATCTTTGGGAAGAAGCTTCAACACAGTTTCCTTCATCTTTCCTGTCTCTTATACTAACATGAAGGCTGGAGTCTCCCGACTGCCATCTTATAAAGCCACACAGCTACAGTTTCCTTTATTCAACCGTAGAGCGTTTTTGTTCTGACACGTGAACGCAGCTGATGTGTCGTCTCTGCTAGTTAGGTTCTCTCTTCTTTGATTCCTGGCTCTTATTCCCGGTCTCTCTTCTCAAGGAGTATAAAATAAGAGAAAAGAAAAGACACATGTGGTCTTCCTGTAGAGTTCTGCTCATTTCCCAGGGGAACGCGGATGTTGACTCCTTTTGGTCATGGACTTAGGGTCTGTCTGTTTGGACTAACATTTTTCCACAGTGAAAGACCAATTGCTCTTGATAGCAGCTGCCTCTGGCGTACCCACTCCGCCCAGGACATCAGGTCCTCTCTTGCTGATTCTTGGAGCTGATTTTGTAGGTTCTTTTGAAACTTTTCTACATCAGCCCATCACTTATGAATGAAGACATTTTTATTTCCTTTTTTCTAATTAGAATAGCTTTTACTCTTCTTTCTTATTGCAATAGTTATGATTTCACACACGATAGTTTGTAAAAATACTAAGAAAGGCAACCTACGCTTTCCCTTGAATTAACAGAAGACACGGGTTTGACCTCTTCCAACATGATGTAACCGAAGGTATTTTTTAGATGTTTTAAAGTCAAATTTTGAAAAAGAAAATTTATTTCTATTTTAAATGTACTTGGTGGTTTCTGTTTCACTTTCCCCCCACGACTGAGCATTTAACCTTGTTAAATGCTTTTATGGCACTAATGGGCATACTCCATGTAGTTATTATTTGCCTACCTGGTAGATTATAAAAAAATATTTTTGACTTTTGAATACCTGGGATACCTAGAATATTTCCCACTTGATTCTGATATATCATTTAAAAAACTTTTCTGGATTTATTTGCTAATATTTCACTAGGGGCTTTTATATCTATGCTCATAATATAGATACCTTGTTTTCAGAAATAATATTTTCTTGTCTGGCTTAGGTTTTGCTGGTTAGGGCAGTGCTGGCTGGTCCTCATTTCTGAAAGAGAGTGCCAATAGTTTATGTTATTTCTTACTGAACTGTTCTATAAAATTTACCAGTGAATCCAGGTTGACTAGCTACCTCCTGTTTGAGAATGTTCTTAATACTATTTACATAACTTAGTTAATAATATTTTAGGAGGAGTCAAGGAATACCTCCTAGGGGAGTTCTTTAACTTGTTGGTTTTGAGAATTTCAAACATGAGTGCTGTATTTACACCATTCTACCCCTCCATCTTCTCTTATTCTCCCCAATTCTGTTTCAAATTCGTGACCCCTTTTTAAATTACCATTGCTGCATATATCTATGCACATGTATATTCATATATAAAAACAACCTGCAAAAGCCATTTAGTGTTGTTCTCATATCTGTGTTTAGGGCTGACCCCTTGGAATTGGGTAACTTATCTGCGTCTCCTCCCTGAAGAGGGCTGAATTGCCCTCTCTCCATAGCCCTTTGTAGCCAGTATCTCTTGATCTAGGGGTAGGCTAGGTGTACAATTTCTACATCCATGTTGGCATGTCAAATGCTACTCTTAGATGACCATATTGTTGAGATGCTATCTGCCGCGTCCTCCCCTCTCTAGAACCCAGAAAGAAGGAAAGAATGAGGTGGGGAGAATAGAGCTCTCGAGTTAACTGGGATAACTTCAGTTTTACTTTTAAAAAATTGTTCCATTGCAACCAAGTTATCAAATTCACAGTGTATTCTTATTCCCCGGGATGTATCATTAATGCTTTTTCTGTCCAGACAATTAATAGCCATTCTGACTGGTGTAAGATTCCTTTTGATTTGTATTTCTTTGATGGCTATGTATTTCAAACATTTCTTTAAGTTAAGTGTCTTTCGGCCATTTGAGATTCTTCTGTTGAGAATTCTCAGTTTAGTTCTGTACCCCATTTTGAAATTGGATTATTTGGAATTTTGATGTCTAATTTTTTTAAAAATATATGCTCTGTCTGATGTGGGGTTGATAAAGAACTTTTTCCATTCAGTAGGCTGCCTGTTTGTCTTATTGACTGTGTCCTTTCCTTTACAGAAGCTTCTCATTTTCAGCAGGTCCCATTTGTTTATTGTTGCTCTAAGTTTCTGTGCTACTAGTGTTATATTTAGGAAGTGGTGTCCTATGCACATGCATTGAAGGCTACTTCCCACTTTCTCTCCCATCATATTCAGTATGGCTGGATTTATATTAAAGTCTTTAATCCATTTGGACTTGAGTTTTGTGCATGGTGATAGATATGGATCTATCTGCATTCTTCTACATGTTGCCGACCAGTTATGCAGCACCATTTGTTGAAGATGCTTTCTTGTTTTTCGTTGTATAATTTTAGATTCTCAAAAATCAAAAGTTCATAGGTGTGTGGATTAATATTTGGGTCTTTGATTCAATTTCATTGGTCAACCTGTCTTTTTTTTTTTTTATGCCAAATACCAAGCTGTCTTCTTTACTGTAGTTCTATAATAGAGCTTGATGTCAGGAATGGTGATGCCTCTGGCAGTTCCTTTATTGTACAGGGATTGTTTTGGCTATCCTGGTTTTTATTTTCCCATATGATGTTGATTATTGTTCTTTCAAGGTCTGTGAAGAATTGTGTTGGAATTTTGATGGGGACTGCATTAAATCTATAGATTGCTTTTGGTAGGATTGCCATTTTTATTATGTTGATCCTACCTATGCAAGGATATGGGAGATCTTTCCATTTTCTGATATCTTCTTCAATTTCTTTCTCAAAGACTGTCTTTCACTTCTTTAGTTAGTGTTACCCGAAGATATTTTATATTATTTGTGGCTATTGTGAAAGGTAATGTTTTTCTGATTTTTTTCACAGCTTCTTTATCATTTGTATATAAGAGGGCTACTGATTTTTCTGAGTTGATCATGTATCCTGCCACATTATTGAAGGTTTTTTATCAGTTGTAGGAGTTCTCTGGTAAAGTTTCTGGGGTCACTTATGGACACTATCATATCATCTGCAAATAGCAAATGTTTGACTTCTTCCTTTCCAATTTGAACTCCCCTGATCTCCTTTTGTTGTCTTATTGCTCAAGCCAGAACTTCAAGAACTATTTTGAGACCGGTTTTAACCCAGGCTTTTTCAGACCCAGGTCAGCTGGCCTTGGTGAGTTCCCGATAGAGCATCTCCATTGTCTCAGTGTGTGGGTGCACCCCTCGCGGTCCTGAGTTCCTTGCTCATGTTCGCTCTCCTTCTGCTCCTGATTTGGACCTTGAGATTTCAGTCCGGTGCTCCAATGTGGGTCTCTGTCTCTGTCTCCTTTCATCGCCTGATGAAGGTTAATATTCAGGAGGATGCCTATATGTTTTTCTTTGGGTTTTTGGGCTGAAGAGGGAGGGGGAATGGATTGGTGGAGGGGGAGGGAAAGGGGAGGCGGAGGTGGGGAAGAGACTGAAATATTTAATAAATAAAGAAAGAAAGAAAGAAAAAAAAAGAACTATTTTGAATAGATATGGAGAGAGTGGACAGCCTTGTCTTGTTTCAGATTTTAATGGAATCCCTTTGAGTTTCTCTTCTTTTAATTTGATGTTGGCTGTCGGCTTGTTGTATATTGCTTTTATTATGTTTAGATATGTTCCTCGTATCCCTGATATCTACTAGACCTTTATCATGAACGAGTGTTGGATTTTGTCAAATGCTTTTTCAATATCTAATGAGATGATCATATGTTTTTTTTTCTTTCAGTTTATTTATATGGTGGATTACATCGATAGATTTTCATATGTTGAACCATCCCTGCCTCTCTGGAATGAAGCTGACTTGATCATGGTGAGTAATTTTTTTATGTGTTCTTGGATTGGTTTGCCGGTATTTTGTTGAGTATTTTTGCATCTATATTCATACGTGAGATTGGTCTGTAATTCTCTTTCTTGGTTGAGTCTGGTTGAGTGTGGTTTTGGTATCAGGGTTACTGTAACCTCATAAAAAGAGTTTGACAATGTTCCTTCTGTTCTATTGTGTAGAACGATTTGAGTAGTATAGGTACTAGCTCTTCTAATACCTATATTAGAAGTTCTGGTAGAAATCTGCACTGAAACCATCCAGCCCTGGGCTTTTTGTTGTTGTTGTTGGGAGGCTTTTGATGACTGCTTTTATTTCCTTGCATGTTATAGGTCTATTTAAATTGTTTGCATGGTCTTGATTTAATTTTAGTATGTGATAACTATCCAGAAAAATTGCCCATTTCTTTTATATTTTCCAATTTTGTGGAGTATAGGTTTTTGAAGTATGACCTAATGATTTATTGAATTTCTTTAGTGTCTGTTGTTATGTCCTTCTTTTCATTTCTGATTTTGTTAATTTGGATGTCCTCTCTCTGCCTTTTGATTAGTTTTGACAAGAGTTTGTCTGCCTTGTTAATTTCCTCAAAGAACCAGCTCTTTGTTTCATTGATTCTTTGTATTGTTCTCTTTGTTTTTATTTTATTTTATTGATTTTGATTATTTCCTGTCATCTACTCCTCCTGGGCGAGTCTGCTTCTTTTTGTTCTAGAGCTTTCAGGTGTGCTGCTAATTCACTAGTATGAGATTTCTTCATTTCCTTTATGTGGGCCCCTAGTGTTATAAACTTTCCTCTTAGCACTGCTTTCATAATATTCCATAGGTTTGGGTACATTGTGCTTGCATTTTCATTGAATTCTAGGAAATCTTTAATTTTTTTATTTCTGGGGTGGTTCAATTGAGCACTGTTCAATTTCCATGAGTTTGCAGGCTTTCTCCAATTAGTGTTGTTAAATTCTAACATTAAAGCATGGTGATCCAATAAGATACAGGGGAGTTATTCCTATTTTTTTGTATCTGTTGAGGTTGGCTTTGTTTCTGAGTATGTGTTCAATTTTACAGAAGGTTCCATGAGGTGCTGTGAAGAAATATTCTTTTGTGTTTGGGTGGAATGTTCTGTAGATGTCTGTTAAGTCCATTTGAGTCATGACATCTGTTAATTTTCTGTCTGGTTGACCTGTCAATTGGGTAGAGTGGGATATTGAAATCTTCTTCTATTAGTGTGTGGAGTTTGATGTGCAATTTAATCTTTAGTAATGTTTCTTTCTTTTTTTAAAATATTTATTTATTTATTATGTATACAATATTCTGTCTGTATGTATGCCTGCAGGCCAGAAGAGGGCACCAGACCCCATTACAGATGGTTGTGAGCCACCATGTGGTTGCTGGGAATTGAACTCAGGACCTTTGGAAAAGCAGGCAATGCTCTTAACCTCTGAGCCATCTCTCCAGCCCCTAGTAATGTTTCTTTTACAGGTGTGGGTGCTTTTGTATTTGGGGCATAGATGTTCAGGATTCAGACTGCATCTTGATGGATTGTTCCTGTTATAAGTATAAAGTGTCCTCTTCTGATTAATTTTTGTTTGAAATCTATTTTGTTAGATATCAGCATAGCTACATCTGCTTATTTCTTTGGTCCATTTGATTGGAAAATTTTTTCCAGCCCTTTACTCTGAGGTAATGTCGGTCTTTGAGGTTGAGGTGTGTTTATTGTATACAGCAGATAGATGGCTCCTGCTTTTGTATCCATTCTCTTAACCTGTTCTTTTTATAGGTGAATTGAGCCCATTGATATTAAGAGATATTACTGACCAGTGATGGTTAATTCCTGTTTTTTTTTTTTTTTTTTGGTGGTAGTGTTTGTGTGTTTCCCTTCTTTGGGACTTGCTGGTGGGAGATTATCTGTTGCCTGTGTTTTTGTGGTTGGTTGATGGAAACTCCTTGGGTTGGAATTTTCCTTCTAGTACTTTATGTAGGGCTGGGCTTGTGATTAGGTACTGCTTAAATCTGGTTTCATCACAGAATATCTTGTATTCTCCATCAATGGTGTTCAAAAGCTTTGCTGGGTATAGTAGTCTGGAGCTTGCATCCATGGTCTCTTAGTGTCTATAGTACATCTGTCCAGGATCATCTGACTTTCATGGTTTCCACTGAGAAGTCAGGTGTAATTCTGAGAGGTCTGTGTTTATATGTTACTTGACCTTTTTTTTTCTTTTCAGCTCTAATATTGTTTCTTTATTCTGTATGTTATGTGTTTTGATTATTATATGGTGAAGGGACTTTTTTTTGTTCAGTATATTTGGTGTTCTGTAAGCTTCTTGTACCTTCATTGGGATATCCTTCTTTAGGTTTGGAAAGTTTTCTTCTATGGTTTTGTTGAACATATTCTGTGCCTTTGAGCTGGAGTTTTCCTTCTTCCTATCACTATTATTCTAAGGTTCGGTCTTTTCATGATGTCCCAGATTTCTTGGATGTTTTGTATTCAGAATTTGTTGAATTGAATGTTTTCTTTGACCAATGAATCTCCGGAATAGTATCTTTAGCATCTGAGATTCTTTTTTCCATCTTTTATATTCTGTTGGTTATGTTTGCCTCTGTAGTTCCCATTCATTTACCAGATTTTCCATATCCAGATTCCCTCGGTTTGTGTTTTCTTCATTGTCTCTATTTTAGTCTTCAAGTCTTGATCTGTTTGAACTGTTTGCTTCACCTGTTTTATTGTTTTTTTTCTTGAATTTTTGGGTTTCTTTGAGAGACTTATTGATTTCTTCCAATATTTTGCTCGTCTTTTTCTCCATTTCTTTAATGGAATTTTTCATTTCCTCTCTAAAGGTCTCCATCCTACTCATAAAGTTACATTTAAAATTGTTTTTTTCTGCTTCTCCTGGGTTAGGATGATCAAGACTTCCTGTTGCATGACCACTGGGTTCTGGTGTTACCATGTTGCTTTTTAGGGTGTTGAATGAATTCTTGCATTGGCACTTATACATCTCTTTCTGCAATTGGTGCTGGCTGGGTCTTTTCCTCTTGCAATGGCTGTCTATGTCTTTGGGAACTGTTCTTGGTCTGCTCTGTACTGTTGCTGTCTGTGTCTCAGGGAGCCACTAAGGTCTCTCTTGGCCTGCTTTCTTGGCCTGCTCTCTTAGTTTGCTCTCTTGGTCCTCTCTGTGTCGTCGCAGTCTGTGCTTCAAGGTTCCTCTCTTGTCCTCTCTGTGTAATTGCAGCTTGTGTTTTAGAGTTCCCCTGAGGTTGCAGGGGGATAGAAGAGTTTGGGGCAGAGTGAAACTTGTTGTTTACAGGGTCCAGTGGATGGGATGGGGGTATTGGAGCAGCCTACCTGCAGAAAACTTGCCTGCTGGCTGGCTAGAGAAGCTGATGCAGGTGGGAGAGGGGCCCGGGGTTTTGTTTCAGTATGGAGAGTCTAATAGAGTGGGGTGTCTCACTGGGTGGGTGGTCACTCACCTCTTGGTCCTCTCTGAATTTGCAGCCTTTCAGCTATAAAATCTTAACATTGCTGATGCTCTGTTTGGTGCTTTCCTCTGCTTCCTGATTTTAGATATCTACATAAAATCTAGGAACCACAAATGAGATTAAACTTATGTCGTTTGTCTTTTTGACTCTGTCCTAATTCTCTCATTAGTATTGCTCATACAGAGGCTATTTTATAACCATGTTGCAGGCAATAGTTTCTGGGAGTTTGGCTCTCTAGGGTGGTGCGTGTTTCTGCAGAGAGACAATAGAGAAACGCTCTCCACTGGGTGAGAGACAACAGTGTATTGGTTTCAGTCCCTGCCTTTTTACTATTTTGAGCTCTAGTTAGTCGGGAATTTGTGGAAAGGAGGGGAGGTCTTTGAGGGTGGACCAGAGTTCTAGTGTGTCATGTTTACCTTTGACCTGGGGCTAACATTCAGTACCGAAGCTGAGGTTTTCTGTGGCTTCATGTCCCCGTGTGTACATAGATGAAAGAAGCCTTGAGTGCTTACTGTGTGTGTATGATCCTCCACTCCAGAGGACATTGACAAATTAGACTTTTATATCTCTTAAATTAAGGGAGCTCTAATCTTGTTACATACAGAGACAACTATAAAGTTGATATTCTTAGAGTGTCCCTGAATGAAGTCACAGAGAGAACAGTTAGTTCAAACTTCCTAACATTTTATAGACTTTAGGTCAGAGTTTTATGAAATCTGAAATGAAGGCAAGTTTAGTATAACAAGAAATGAAGTTAAAGCTCCAATTCTGTTTATTTTGATGGGTTTATTTCCTTGGTTTACTGATTAAGGCCTTAGTTTGGAAGATGAAAGATAGCTTGTTCCTTTTTATGAACTCTGTTAAGGCAGCAGAGAATCTGTGCCTGCAGGAAGAGGTTTCTGTGCTTTATGATTGATTTTATTAGTCTTTGTTGTTAGAAAAAACAAGACACAAAGTTTTCTTACTTGTGGAAAAGTTATGGCTCTTGTTAGTGTTTTACCTTCCAGTTGGACTTCAAAATATTTTGTTCCAGTCCAATTACACTCATTACTGTACACTCTTTCTCAGGGGCCGTGATCCAGACAGACTTACCTGCTCAGCCCTTCCTCTGCCAATTTTCGTGTTGTTAAGGTTTGTTAGATGGTGTGTTCAGAAAAAAAAAAAAGCCAGTTACCTAAAGCTATCTCTGAGATTGCACAAAGACCCCAGAACAATGAAAAAGGGTTATTTTTTACTTTATAAAAAGACAAACATTCTAGGTAACTATCTAATAAGAAGTATACTTCTTGAATTAGCTCAATGAAATTGCAAGAGCAGTTTAGGAAGAACCACCCCATGAGAGAAGATGTTTTACCTTCTCTTGAGTTCGCTGAGGTACAATGTTATGAATATACATATTTCAAAGAACATAAGCCCCATAAGAAGACCTTGGAGACTTATCTTACCCACAAAGGAGGCGTTGATCAAACCCTTATGAAATAAAGATGAGCTTCCTTCCAACAGGGGACTTGTACTCTTAAATTCTAATATTATTAATGATGGTAATAAATTGACTACATCCATTAAGTCTGTGTCACCTATGGATAATTTTTGTTTCACTCTGGTGCTTCCCCAAAGGCTTTGCTATCACACAAAGGCCAGAGGTTTAGCCTGCAGCCTTAAGTCTCATGGAGAGAGTCATAGCAGGGGCTGTGAGCTACTGGAGCTCCCAAGTAAAGATTCTGGTCCTTTTTATTCATGTATAAGTTATCTTTAACATTCTCTTAGAACCTACTTTTGTAAAGGGGCATTAGATATTTGAAATGATAATTGATTTTCATTCACCAACCAATAAGTTTCTTTGGCTTTTTTTTTTTTGGTGGAAGTATAGTTAATATGTGATTTTATACAGATATGCCTGCCTTTTTAAAATTTGATTAATTTGTTTAAAAGTAAGTGTGTGTGTGTGTGTGTGTGTGTGTGTGTGTGTGTGTGTGTGTGTGCAGGTGACGATGGAGAGCAGAATGGGCTATCTGGTCCTCTGGGACTGGAATGATAAGTAGTTGTTAACTGCCCCAAGTGGGTGCTAAAAACTGAACTTCTGTCCCCTGGAAAAGTAGTGCATGTTCTTCACCACTGAGCCGTCTCTCCCAGAATATGCCTATCTTTTTTTTTTTTTTTTTATCAGAATACATTCGGTCTGTACAACTGAGACCACAGAGGGGAGTTACGTCTGGTAAGAACTTTCATCTGCTCAGGTGTGATAAGCTACTGCAAAGCAAAGGGTTGGCTCTTTGGAAAACCTGCCTTCAGGTCTCAGTCTTGCAGATAGCGAAGGTCACGTCTCAGCAGGATAAGGGACTTGGGGGAGCAGCAAGCAGTCTAACTTTCTGGTAGAAAATGTTGCTTGGGCTTGGTTTCCTGGCCTCTGGACAGCAGATAATAGAGGCTTTATAAATGAAATTCAATTTTCTTAGGAAAACTTCCACACAGAAGTTCATTCTGTGGCCTTGTTAGCTTAGGACTGCATGGTTCCCAATTTACAAAGCAAATAGGCGGTTGATTAACAGTCCTGTAGCCACATATGTAAGCAGGGTAAACTTAATGAGAACAAGAGTTCTATTCCAGCATACTTTAGAGGATGGTATTATGATCCCAAATATATATTTATTAGGAACAACGTTGAGAACTTTGAGATTGGAAAAAAATTATAGGGTGTCTTTTTAATAGAAACACATATGTGTTTACTAGACCCTCTGGGGTCATCTAGCCCTGAAGAGCTCTGCTGCTCAACTGTGTTTGGCTGGAGTAAACCTATGACCATGTAGATTTTAGAGAACTGGCAGAAGCAGAAATGACTTTTTATAGAAAGACAAATGGGCTTTGTTTGGCACAGATACAATGATTTCTTCTACATTATTACTAGAATTACAGTGTCTTCTTGGGTAATGTTTGGGGGTTTGTTTTGCATAGTCATTAAAAGGACCCCAGCACTAAGATGGCCTTTGTCTACATGTCCTTTGAACAGACTCAATACGTTCCTCATCACCTTCCCCTTTTGTCTAAATAAGAGAGTTCTAAACCTAATACAAACTATATACAGTAGGAACATAAATCAAGTGTAAAAAATAGAATTACAACCAGCATAAACAATATTAAACATAACAATATATGCTAAACATTTTAATAATTATTCTATCCTAAGGAATCTAAGTCTTGTATTAGAAATAGCTTGGCTAAGGCATATGAGGAAAGTAACTATGACTATCTAGTCTTTAACCCCATTGAAGACCTGACAAGGGAGATAATATTACTTGGGTAGGTAGGAAGTGCAATCAAACAGCTTCCAAAATGTGCAGTAGATGACAGAGGCAACTGGCTACCTAGGCAATCACCCAAAGTCTCATTTGCAGTGTTGGAGCAACCAACTTTGACTAAAGCCTAGAGTAACTGACAGACCATTTTCAGAGGCAGGAAAAAAAAAAATTTTTGTCCTGTTTTCCTGTCTGGACACTGTGCATTTTGTCAGTGGTCGAGACATGAGCAGCTCCTTGCCCAAAGGCCAGTTTTGCCAAGAAGAAAACAAGCTCCAAGTCTTTGGTGCTCAACATTCTCTCAGGAGTAGATTAGTGCTGCCAGGAACAATCATGCCTCATGTCAACAGAACCCTAAATTATTTAAATGCTATATTCTACAATTCTTTGAAATGTTTGAAGATTATCTATCTATGTAGAATAAATCTCTATGCATCTAAATAAACTGATTAGTCTAATTATAAGTGTGACAAAAATGGATGACTATTGACCTATAATTTTTAATGCCTGTATAACTTTAAGACTTCATATTAGAATATTAAATAATATTTTAATGACTGTGCATCAAAGGAGGACAATGATCTCAAAATGTAAATAATATATAAATATCTTGATCAGAGGTAGAAATGTATAATGCAATATGATAAATATATCCTAAAATTGCATTAATATACAAAATGTCTTAAACAGAGGTAGAAACATGCATGCATACAATATGACAGAATAACTTTGCATAGGTGTATAAATATTATAAACAGAAACAGAAGCATATTTAATGGAGAACTGCACCCATATTCCCAAATATTGTTTATAAATGTTTGTTTACATTTAAAGGGGTATTTGCTATAGAGATGAATACTTTGCACTGGTATGGATCTTGGTTTATTGATACAAATTGAAGGTCAATTTTTATATGTATATTTCTGCTCTTGATTAAATGTAATGTATAATTAAGAAATACAGATTGATAGATAGTCATCTATAATAGCCAAGCTTCTAGTTATGTTAGTTAGATTTTCTAAATGTACATAGATATATTTCAGATGGATAGTTATTCTTCAAACTTTACAAAGACTAACAGAATATGACATTTAAAATTTTTAAAAAAACTTAGGACTTTCCATGACAATAAGACACATCTACTCCTGGCAGCACCAATCTACTTCAAGAGGGTGATGGGCATTGAAGAGGCTCCTTGTGGAATTGGTTAGCCATTTGGGCAAGAAACTGCTCGTTCCTGGACTGCTTGATGTTATGCTGTATGAACTGGACACGCAGGACCCACAGAGAAATGACTGCTGCAGTTGTCTAGAGAAGGTGAGACAGTCCTTTGGGGTTCCTGCTTCATGGAAGAGTCTGGTATATACTATGGGCCTGAAGGCTAAAGATGGGTACCCCAATGTTACAGTAGAACTTTGGGTGACTGTCCAGGCAGTGAGGTGTCTCTGTCAATTCTAGAGTTTTAAAAGTTGCTTAGAATGCACTTCCTGTTTACTTAGGTAATATTGTATCCTTATGGAGTCTTTGATGGAGTTAAAGAATAGATAGTTATAGTTATAGTTTTCCCTAGTTATGATAAAAGATAAAATAGATATAAATATTTTAACTGTAATTCTTGCTTGATACCTGTTTTGTTTTATGCAATTTTACTGTGTTAAAGTTAAAACCTTCTTTTTTATTTAGACAGAAAAAGGGAGATCATCATGTAAAAAGTCCTTCTGTATATGTGTTGCTTTTATTGGTTAATAAATAAAAAAATGTTGCTTGGGTCTATGGCAGGGCAAAATAGACCCTAGGCAAAAAGAAAAAAAAAAACTAAGCTAAATGCTGAAAAAAAAAAAGGCAAAGTCAGAGACGCTATGGAGTCACTGCAGGAGGCAGAAGCATCAAAATCTTGCCAGTAAACTATGAGCCTTGTGGTAAATATAAAATAATAAAAATGGGTTAATTTAAGATGTAAGAGCTAGCTGAAAATATGCTTAAGCTGTTGGCCAAACAGTACTACAATTGATATAGTTTCTGTGTGATTATTTCGAGTCTGGGCGGCTGGGAACAAATGAGCGTCCTCCAAACAGTGAAACAGGAAATGATGAAGCAGTCACACAAGGACAAAGAACCAACTCTGATGTTCAAAATCATGACACATCTGGCTCACATCACTCTTCTGATATGAATCAGCTTTTGGATCCATTCAGGCCAAATTTTCAGATCCTTCCTTCCTGCCGCTAAGTCCACAGTTAGGGCTTTCCCTCACAGCACTGCTTTTCGAGCATGCAGGCACTGAGGCAATGAAGCACACAACTGTGGTGCTAGTTCATCTGACCAATCCCAGGCCTCATAACAAGATCAACACCCAAAGTGGAAGTTATAAGAAGTCCCTGCTCGACGAGGATGCATAGATGATTCCACAGGGGAGGGCCCCCTTGCTTTGTGCAAATATAGTGTGTTATGTGAAAGACAAGACAAGGAAGAGCAGCAGCTGCCAGGGAAGGAAGGGTCCGGGCTTACAGATGTTAGGAAACTGGGGTGGGATGCAGAGAGATCAATCACTTGGGGAAAATGGAGTTATCAGTTGAACCACCCATGCTTCAGAGAGCAGATCTATCGCGCCCATCTCTGCTGTTGCTACGGCTACTGTGGGCTGAGGGAACAGTAAAGAACAGTGCACATCCATTCTCTGAGACTCTCCATACCAACTCCAGTCTAAAGACAGAGCCATCCTCACCTCATGCACTGTCAAGATGCCCGAATGGAAAGAACTTGTAACAACAGAAACCTTCAGTTGTTTCTGCCCTCTGATGTATTCCAATGGAAACTGACGATGGTTTTCAGTTAAGTTTTCCCTCTCCTTTGTTTCCATGGGGAAATGCTGACCATAACGTTGGATGTTCCAAACTTTTCCTGGTGGGCTTCTTTGTGGAAACTGAAGGTGGGAAAAGTTAATACTTTGCTAGGATTATCTGCAGCATGCTCCTAAGGATCTGATGCAGAATTAGCCCAGGAGTTAATTAGAATGCTAGCCAAGCTAGACCTGTGCTTAATTAAAGCAAGCAGACAACGACACAGAGAGCGAGTGCTTTCGGTACTTTGGGACATTCAAGGTTGAAAATGTGGCCTATTAAAGGACTCTCTTAACCATTTAAACCTTCTTCGGTCAGCGTCCGCGCAGAGCAGTTACTGTCCACTTCAGTGGGCATTTGGAATCGCAGTTCAGAGGTTTTGCATGCCTTAAAATATGACTTCCAACTTCACTTAGAGGAAATCATGGTTTATCTCTTATTTTGTAGAACTGAGAACAAAGGAAAAATATGGAGATAAAGCATGGGAGGGAACCAACAGAGAAGATAATTTATAACAGATGCTTCTGTGACCTTCTAGATACGATGTATTATAAACACTAAGAGGGGGAATATGAAGTTAGATGTGAAGATCTGTTTAGCCCCAATTGTACATTCCCTCTATGCTGAGACGATCTCATATTCTGGCATGTGAGCTATATCCTTCCAGGGTGAGAAAATAACTGGAAATATGGTGGGGTCATCAATGTTAATTCTGAATGAATCAGGTGACATCCTACAAGCCTGTGGATTAGTTTTCAAGATAAGGAATCTCACATGCATGTGTTATACACATATGTATACTCAAATGTACACAAATGTGTGTGTACATGGGTATGCATGTTTTTCTTATGAGACCTGTGAATTTTTCTGTAAAAACATGCAATAATATAGCTGTATCTGTATGTCACAGGGTCAAAACCCTTGATCTAGTAGTCTCAGCTTGCATGCCAAGGAATAGGCTAAGAGCTGTAATCTGAGATATCAGGTGATCTCTGGGCACTCAAAGCCAAGACTGTAGCTCTGTGCTTCTCCTGTATACCTGGGCACTAAGAATGAGTCAGGATTGCTGTGCCTGTGTTTGTCTGGATTTTGTAATCACTCTGCAGACAAAGCATTTAAAGATAGATTTTATTGCCTTTCTGCCCCTCTGTGCATGTGTGTAGTCACTTGGTGGGAGCTGCCCCAGGATTTGTCTGTGGGGACAAAGTCAATCAGTACAACAGGAGGCCTGCACTTGCCTTACTTTTCTAAAGAGCTAATGGTTAATTTTCTTGAACATCGGAGGGAACAGTTATCACAATCTGATTGCCAATTTGGGGGTTAATTTGGTAATTTTGTGTTTGATCACAGCTTTTGGGAGAGTTCCAGGAATCAGCAATTTTAACTCAAAGGAAGTGGGAGGAGCTGCTGCTTCCTAGTGATGGGAGTCAGAGGGCCCTCTCTGTAATCACCAAATAAATCATCTTACATCACTGCTGGCTCTGTGATAGAAGGCCAGGCTCTACTGCTTGAGAATCTATTTGATCCTCCTGGACTATCAGAAGGGTTGAAGGTCTTACTTAGTTCCTGTTTAGTTAAGGAAGGTATGGAACTAATTCTAGTCAACAACTGCAATTGGAAGTGATATAGGCCTCTTCTAAGTCAAGGCATTTAAAATCCAGGTGGTCACAGAGATTAGGGGCCGGACTGACTTTCTGTTTCTACTACTTGGGTTTTGAGGGAGTAACATGGTAATGAACTCTAACACTCTTGAGTTAAGCAGCAGTGGGGAGGCACCACAGAATGTAGGCTTCAAGAAATAATGGACAGGGTGTGGCTGTGAGGAAGGAGAGAAAGGGAGAGGAATTGGGGAGGAGAGAAACTGAAGAAAGAGAGAAAAGGAAGACAGGAAAAGAAGAAAGGAAAGGTGTGGAGGGGAAATGGGGAGGGGAAGGAGGGATAGAGAAGAGAGGAGGGGAAAGGAGAGGTGGAAAAGAGGAGGAGAGGAGAAATATCAGCCTCTAAAATGCTCCATAACCCCTCCCATTACTCGTATTACTCCCATCCCTCAGTAGTCCTTAGAAGAAGGATGCAACCATGTCACCATGATCCCAGAGAAACCAAGTGCAGGACTGGTGCCCCCAGTGTACTTTAGTACTGGTGCATCCCATTGATTGAGTACTGTGAGAGGCTGTAATACAGCAGGACTCACTGTATATCACAGTCAGAAACATGCCTGTGTCCCAGAGCAGGCTGGAGACTCGTACGGCAGAGCTCACTGTATATCACACTCAGATCAGCCCCCTGTGTCCCACAGCAGGCTGGAGAAAGGAAGCTAAAGATAAGGAACTCTGGGGAGAGGCGTCCAGCATGGAATCTCTCCAGCCCCCGCCTACCCTCAGTGGCTACTGTGTGTTGAGATGGAGGAGATGAAGGTTCAAGACAGCATGAAAGGCTTTCCATTGCTTGGAAGACACCGACTTTTCTTCCAAGAGCTCCTGCAGCCACAAATAGCTTCAATGAGTAAATGGTTTTTACAAGATTTTCTTGTTGTCTGCCCTTGGCTTTTAAAGCAACTTCTTTCAGCTGTAACTTTAAAGGAAGTAGCTGTAAAGTTCTTGCTCTTCTGTGACGAAACAGTCCCTTCAGCAGCTAGACATTGAGATGAAATGCACCTGGCTTCCTTGTGTGTTTGCTAAGTTTTATTAGCCCAAGAGCCCAGTAGTCTAACCTCCCATCACCAGTGAGTCATATGGCTACTGTTTCTATTCATTCCTTTTGATATCTTTAAGTGTCTGGAAATTCAATACCTAAAATGTGCATGTGACATACATAATCAATAATTCAAATCTTTTCTAGTATTGGCCACTTCATTGCGCCATGCTCAGTTCATCAGAGCTATTGATCGCCTTTTTACCCACTTAACCTCATGCTTCTTTGGGAACAGTCATCGGCATTTAAAATGTTACCTTCAATAGTGATGGCCAACTTGGGCCAATGCCCAACACCGACATCACGTACTACAAGGGCAGCTTTTGTCTTAGTGATAAGCAGGCTGAGCCACAACTCAATAATGTGTGATTCCTTCCAGCTGGTTCATTCCCTCACAACCCTGTTCTAGTCACAATCAAGTTGGGCATTTCACAGGTTGTTTTTGGATCTTGTGTGATACAAAGCTTTGCATGTGGAAAATGCATAGAAGGAAACACCGTGCCAGGAAACAATTTAGATTTACTGAAGCTGCAGTATTTACCCTGGTGGAAATGGAAGAAGAGAGTAGTGCCAGGGTAAGCTGGCATGCCTCCAGTTTTGAGAGATTCTGGTGATAGCAGAGGGGGATTTGTGGAAGAGAGGAAAGAGAGTTAAAGTACTTCCCAAAAACAACCTCAATGCTCCTCGACAGAAGAATGGGAAGAGAAAATGTGGCACATTTACACAAAGGAGTATTACTCAGCTATGAAAAATGATATCATCAACATTAATGGCACAAACCTTGTA